AGTCAGGAGATTGTCACTTCCTGCAATATCCCGCACTGCTGCTGCTACTGTGTTCCAAGTCTCCATTTTGAATCTGTTGTCTGATCTTTTACCAGTTCTGATAGCCTGAACCAACTCACAAAGTAAAACTGTAGTCATTTCAGTTGATCAGTTGATGGCTTTTCCTCTTGGCTTTTGCTGCTTGTATTTTTTTTTGATGCAATGAGGATGGTATATTACTGTTATCTGGAACCAGATTGGAATTTTTGGAACTGCCGGTAGGGGTGGAATAAGTAGATAGATGTGTGTTGAAGCTTTCTTCCTGGATACTGTTTTGACTTTGAGATGTGTTGTAGGATATAATGTCTGAGGCAAATGGATCATCTAAGTAAGAATTTGATTGTTGGATCATGGGAGTATTGCTTATCAGACTAGTATTAACAATCATGTCAGCTATTGAAAAGTATTAAGCTGTACTAGAAAAGGCATACCATGTTGGATTATTAGAGCTCAGCTCAGAAAAAATAGATTCAAGAGATGCATCCTCTGATAACCACTGAGATAGATCACCCACCTGAGATGATATTGGTTACTGAAGAGTGGCTGGCCGTACTAACTCAATTTGCAGGGATGATCCGATAGTGAATCGCACGAGTTTTTATTAGTAAAGTGCGTACTACCCTAAGCAGTCTGAGACCTGGAGTCTGGGAGGAGAGTGGAGTCCTAGAAGAGTGTGAAGTCCAGAAGGAGTGTGGAGTCCTGGAGGTGTATGAAGTCTGGGAGGAGTGTGAAGTCCTGAAGAAGTACCAAGTCTGGGAGAAGTGTGAAGTCCAGAAGGTTGAAGTGTGTGGGAGATGTGAAAGGTTCTGGTGGAGCAACCGAGAGGTAGGGAAAAAATTTCATGAGAAAATTTCATGAGAAAATTTCATGAAACGGTCGACCGTTCGTGACAACCGTTTCTCCAAGTCAAACCGTTTCCGAACAGAACGGTTGCCACTTCTTCCATCACATCCGAACAGGCTCTAACAAGATAAACCTAGCAGTAAAACCGGATTCTTTGGCAAGTACCCTTTACCCCGATAAGTGTATAACACAGGAGTTATGCAACAACCCTGACTTGTAGTAATCCCGTTCAGGGCACCGCGGCTGGCCTCAAAGTCGGGCATCGCAAGTATACTAAAGTCGTAATATATCCCATCCCACCACACTCCAGTGAAAATGTGCCTAGCCTCCGCACAGCGCACCCATTCCCAAGGGCCAACGACCCCATACTCGGATAGAGTCTGGTGGGGAGAATTGATGCTAAACATACAGAGAATAATCCGCAGAAGCAGCCCCTTTGGAGATCCGCATGTCACCTCATATGAAGATAGCATCACAAATGTTCCTCGGAAGAAGCAATTACTTCGGATATCAAATACCTCCCATACGTAAGCATTAGCTAATATTTGTTTTATTTGCCCCCATCTATCCCGAGCATCTATGAAGACGAAGTTCCCGAAGCCGCACCTCCTGCAGACGATGACTGACCGCCGCCACGAGTCTTCTTCCTCGCAGCCTCCTCCTGCTTCTCCTTTTCGATATCCTTGACATAGCCCTCGATATCTTCGACAGTCATCATCTGTGCGCGAGATATCAGCACTACCCGAAAATAAATGGTAAGGAAATAACAAACCTCCATCTCCTTCCCTGGTTCCATGATAGCAATTTCAATATTCTTGGCACCAGTTTGAACCACCTCCAGAAGCGACTTGACGGTGAGTTTTACGGTCTCCTCACGATCCATATCTTCCTTGTAATTCCTCTCCAAAAATTCTCTTACTGTCTTGCTAGACCTACCAATGGCATTCGCTTTCCTACTCCATACAGTCAAATTAACCCCGTATCCCACAAGAAACCCGCAAGTCGAAAAGAACACACCATGCAGAATAAATGCCCGACGGCTCGGTCTGATAAAGTCTCGGAATTTTATCATTAGGATCAAACCCAATGATAAGCGTACTAATACCAAACGGCCTAACGCCACCACTCTGCGTGTATCTCTGCTGGACACCGGCAACGTATTTTGTGATATACTCGATGGTTACAGGGTCCTCTACGGTTAAACGATGGGATTGTGCTTCCAGTCTTGCCTTGTCGACGAGAATGCGGGCATCAGCGTTTAATCCGGCGAAAGCAAGGCAAACATGGTTGTCCAAGAGGCCGATTTTGCTCGGGGTGATGCGTGTATCTTGAAGTTTCATAGCAGAGCGTTTTTCGCAGCCGAGAACAACGATGGAGGTTCCTTTAACACCAACGGCGCAGGTCCCTTGATAAGTTTAGTATATTTCAGAATAGATATTTCTGGGTGAAGGCGGAGGGGGGAGGGGCACGAGTACCTCTCTTGACGGCTTCTAAAGCATATTCCACCTGGAATACGTGACCATCAGGACTACCATGAATTAGCCGCTGATGCGATAATCAGTAGATGGGAATAGTAGAAGGGCATGATAGATACCTGAAAACTGTAGATCACACTTATTATCAGTTCTCCATCCGTTTTTAGAGCTTCTGTTCAAGACAAACTTACCACTCAAGGCCCTATCATAAGAGCCGGCCATCTTGGATAAATCAGCGGGGCTGCAGAAACTCGCGGAGATGATGTAGTAGAGCTCGTAGAGATGGAAATGCAATGTTGGAAGCTTCCACAGATGCCAGAGTTCTAATGGTCTCGTTAGTTGCGTGAGTCTAGGTTTCTAAGAAGACGGATGTGAGAGAAATACAATGACCATTGTTTCCCCCCACCTCTTGGCACTTGAGGCTGAACAACACTGCAGAGGCTTTGCCCGAATTGTGCCAAGACACAGAAGATTTGGAGTAATCAACGGTGGGAGTTCACTTTGAGGAGGAAGAGCCCAAAACCCCGTGCTTCCGGCTTGATAAATCCCCCCAAGAGAACAGTTGACTTGACCTGCCAACACCCCATCACATGAGGCCTGAACTCAAACCATTCGATTTTTAAAAGGTAAGATGCCTCTGCCCCCCCCACTTTCGATACAAGAAGAATTCATTTGAAGGTACCGTAATTGTTTCCAAAAACTCTGCGGTGGATAGAAGTTGTAGAGATCAAAGTTGCTCGCCCTCGTGGTAGGGTCAAATCAATGTCTGGTCTGGATATCAGGAGGGGCTTTGCAACCACCGTATCATACATGCCAAGATGGTTCAAAAAAGGCTCTATATTTTTTTGTCAAGGGCAAAATCTCAAATGTGAACTCGATGGATAACCCCTAAAATCGACAATCGTTTAAAGATCATCATACCGGCACTCGTATGGCCCTGGTCACCTATAACGTCCACCAAGTCCACTGCAAAATGTACGGTGGCTTAGCATATAAAAAGTAGATCATGTAAAATGTGTGGCATGACACTTGGGCCTTTTCTTTTCCTGGTTCCATTAGAGATTACTTATATGATATCTGTACCATCATTGGTTGCTCAACACTATAAATAAATTGTGAAGAGACACAGAATTGGATCAAGCAAACAAGAAAACACAAGCCAGGAACCAGCGCAAAACACGATACACTTGAAGGTGAATTGGAGCGAATCCACCGGTGATATTTGTATTTAGTATCATAGCCAAAGAATTCCCTGACTCAAGCACTTACATTCCGCACAAGGGACCTACTTTTGCATGCCAAGCCACTATTCCCCTCGCGATACACTTGGCGGAGGATAGGCGAAACCTCCCCTACTGCGAAGGATGCCCTATGCTTTTAATTGAACTGAGACCCCGGAGGAATCAACGTGGTGCGGAACGCGAGCCAAAACCGAGCGAGCAGGCACTGTACCTTGTCACAAGGACGAGTGATTGGGAAAAGTGGCGCAGGTAATGACTAGAGGTCTGGACAAACCGGCTCCCCCTCCAATCTTGCCCCTCCCCTTGAACATCTCAGAAAAAAACTCTGCCCCTCTGCAGATCCTTCCGTATCATATATCAGGGCCACTTCTCCTCCTTCACCAATTCAAGGAGAAACTCCCAAAATCCAACAATGACCCCCACACGATTAATTACCCGCGCAATTCGTCGTCCTGGCCTGATAGTACCCCCCTTCTGTCGGCCGGTACTCCTTCGCCTAAGTGGGCAGAGGTTCAGCGCTACCGAATCTCATAGGCAGATTACTACGACCGCCACAACTGCTAACAGTCAAAAGAAAGAAGTCCGATTAACCGCGGAATCGTAAATTCCCATCCCTCCCCCTCCCAGTTCTGGCTAACGCAATTTTAGATACCCAAGCATCGAACGTGACGCCCGGTTCGCAAAACTCACCTCCGAAGATGTCGCCCACTTCCGCTCAATCTGCCCAGTCCTTTCCGCCGAATCGGATGACCTTGAGGCCTTCAATACGGACTGGATGCGCAAGTACCGTGGCCAGACAAGATTGGTCCTAAAACCAAAGTCCACCGCCAACGTTTCTGAAATCCTCAAGTACTGCAATTCCCGCTCACTCGCTGTGGTCCCTCAGGGCGGCAATACGGGATTGGTGGGAGGATCGGTACCGATTTACGACGAGATCGTTGTCTCCATGAACTCTATGAGTAATATCCGCTCGTTCGACCCGGTTTCGGGGATCCTAATTTGCGATGCTGGTGTTGTCTTGGAAACGGCGGATAATTACCTTGCTGGCCAGGGACACATCTTCCCGCTGGATCTTGGCGCTAAGGGTTCCTGTCATGTCGCGGGAAATGTTGCCACCAACGCTGGTGGTTTGAGGTTGTTGAGATACGGAAGTTTGCACGGAACCGTCCTTGGTGTTGAAGCGGTCTTGCCAGATGGGACAATTATGAACGATCTGTCTACCCTCCGAAAGAACAACACAGGATACGACCTTAAGCAGCTATTCATTGGCTCCGAAGGTACCCTTGGGATTATTACCGCGGTGTCGATAATATGCCCTCCGAGACCTAATGTGCAGAACGTGGCCTTCTTTGGTGTGAATACCTTCGAAAAAGTGCTGGAAGCATTCATCCGGGCCAAGAGAGAGCTGGGAGAAATCCTTTCAGCCTTCGAACTTATGGACGGCACAAGTCAACGATGCGTCGCACAGGTCACAGGAAAAACGAGGCCACTAGCGGGCGAGGAAACCAAATTCTACGTCCTCGTAGAAACCAGCGGAAGCAACAAAGAGCACGACGACGACAAAATCGATAAATTTCTTATGGCCTTGATAGAAGACGAAACCATCGTCAACGGGGTCCTGGCGCAAGACGAGACACAACAACGCAATCTGTGGTCATGGAGAGAAGGTATCCCAGAGGTCCTCGGCCACTGGGGTGGAGTATACAAGTACGACGTTTCAATCCCGCTAAAGGAGCTCTACTCGCTTGTGGAGGATGTCAAGGCAAGGCTCATCGAGCACGGATTGCTGGGGGAGGACAAGACCGTGGTCGACGTTGTCGGATTCGGCCACATGGGAGATGGCAATCTTCACCTGAACATACCCGTGAGGTCATACGACAGTCGCGTCGAGCAAATTCTTGAGCCATTTGTTTATGAGTGGATACAGAAGAGGAAGGGCAGCATCAGCGCTGAGCATGGGCTTGGTGTAGCGAAGAGGGAATATGTACAGTATTCCAGAGGCGAGACCGAACTGGGTATCATGAGGAGTTTGAAGAATCATTTCGATCCGGTATGGCCAGCGCCCGTCCCCATAAGAGCATCGTGTTGCTAACGCTTCAGCAGAAAGGAATTATGAATCCATACAAATACATCAAACCATAAAGCTAGAATTCTAATTTCCCACCTTTTCTCCCTCTCTTCCGATGGAGCGTGCACGTCTTAGTTGAGCTAGTAACCAAAGCCTTCCACAAAGCAATGGAGGTCGTTCAGTAACCAGACCGGGACCCAAACGCACCAAAAGTAACAGTTTTCGAGTTATCATCACACAACCACCATGAGCAGGAACAACATGGAAAAATTCTTCAAAAAGTAATTTGCTACAATAGCATGCATGTGCCCAGAGTTATAGGGTGCAGAATGTTCATTCCCATGGAGTACAGTACCTGCGAGTCGGGGGTTTTTGTATGCGAAAGTTATATTGCAACTAACCTTACCCAGTTCATGTGCCCTTGTCTCTCTACAAACAATTGAAAAAAGACCAAAATAAATATATATTGTACCTGAGACTTGCCAAATTTAAATTTAAATTTTTTTCAATGCTGAGTTTCAAGATATCCGTGGAGTTATCATGGCTCGAAACCCCGCGGTTTTGGTTCGTTTTAGCCTCTGTCTGGTGACTAAAGGACCTCTATTGAAAGTCGTATTCGAGTGACCTCCTGTGACTGAGATGACAGGGAAGTTCGTACATATGCACTTTGCGTGTGGCGGAAAAAAAAAACAAAGCAAGAAAACACTTTCGGAAACAAGGCATCCACCCCATATGGTGGGACACAGTATCATACCGGTACTGTACTGTACCGGTATTCGACTGCTTGTGCCGTGCTCGAGCAAAGGCGCTGCTTGGACCCGAGCAAAGGCACTCTACCAAATCACGGGATGGTACAAGTGCCAATTTTAATAATAGAACAGTGCCGAGACATGAGAGCTACTCGAGTACCGTACGGTATCATACAATAGAAGTAGAATTCCAAGGATGACGGAGCGTCGGAGCACCTCTCTTCAGCTTAGTCGCCGAGCGGGAAATCTCATACCGGTAATTCTCCTTTGGGGCTGCAGAAGCTCGGGTTGCCTATATTGAGGTTAGTTTGACTCCTGTTTACCGTCCCTATGCTTGCACGTACCTGTACCATAACCTTGTAATATGGCGATCCTTAGAATCACAGAAGACACTGGTGCCGGTAGCTCAACCTAGAAACCAAAACATAATGGTGCACAATACCGTACTCGAGTACTGTACCAGAGCATACGAGTAGGCTGCTGCACTCATACGAGACCGTGGGTTGGTACTCGTGGTACCTGGTGGGTGAGAAGTATATATGTGAAAATAAGAGTACTCGTGAATTAGGACTGGTTATGGGTGCACGGATTTTTGCAACACCGGTACACGAGCATACCGTATTGCGAATCCCTGCTTTCGGGTACGATACACCTTGCCTTTTCTACTTACAGTAGTGCCGGTACAGGTGTTGCAGGGGTTAAACGGGATCCACAACGGGAGTAAATCCTCTAAATGGGGAAACCCTCTAATGTGTGAGTACTTTATTTCTGTTTCAAACAAAAGTTACTTTGTGCCTTGCCTTATGACATGCTAGAAGATCGGCTGGGGGGAGGGCGAGAGGGTTCGATGGACTGGAGTGATGAATTGGCTCGACAGATGATGATGGTGATGATATGGTCTAGTGGTGTCATTTACCGGCATTTATTCTACTTGTATGATACGGTGGGTGAGTGGATAAGAGAGAACGGTTTGCTGGTTGTCCTTTGGCCAAGTGCGCTATTCGTACCGGCGTTTTATTAAATTTATATCATACTCGTAGTGTATTATCGTAACATGCTTGGCTATTCTACTGGCTGTGGTGGAGATGCGAAGCTGCGGTGTTAGAACCGTGCCTGCCTCTCATCTTTGCCTCAGCCCGACATTCAGCACTGTAACCAAATCTTTTGAGGGTATCCTGCACTGGACGATCTGGCTGTTTCTTTTTCCCCTCCCTGCGGTGATTTCGAACACTTGCCCCATGGGTGAAAAACCCGGAGCCTCCTGCCTCTTCATAGAAAGAGGAAAAAAGGAAAAGCGAAGTATCGCATCATAACTTTGGAGAAAGTCAAAAAAAAAAGAAAACATTGGTCATTCATTACATTGCACATCGTTCCCACTCTGGCCACTCTGCCAACGCGAGTCCCTTGGCTGATTGCTTCTTCTCCTCAACAACCCATCTACACAGCAACAGTGGCTTCTTCCACTTCTCGAACTCATCTCAAATTACTCCTATTCTATACACCTACGGAGGAGCCCATCAACCTTCAATTTTACGCTGCTCGACCGCTCGACTTTGGATTGTTGGCTTTCGCTTGCTCCTGGTTAACCAGCCGCTCTCGCCTCGGCTGAGCTCTCGGGACCCTTGGGTCTCTGCACCCACGGCTCGAGCCCATACCCCCGCGATGGCTGAGAATATGGCAGACGATACTCCTCCCGTGAGCTGCCTTCCGAGCTCTTTCTGTCAATAGTGTTTGTGCTGTTATTTACCGGCCAACTGATCTTGTTGCGTAGGCTTCTGTTTCTTCGTTGCGTTCGAGGTTCGAGCAGATGGCGGCTTCGAAACCCAAACCGCCTGCACCTTCGCCGTCCGGATCCGAAACGGTGCAGAAACCTCTCCGACCTGCCCACACTGGATCTGATCCCTTTTTGGAACGTAATTCCGGCGGAGGTGTCAACTACCACGTTCGCGCCTCACTGGATATCCCTCGGGAGCCGGCGACGGTGGGTAGAGGTGGGATGTCGAAGCCAGCAAACAGCAATAGTTACTTGAACGCGCACACCCTTCCTCGAGGATTCACCCAGTCTTCACGGCAGAGACCGCTTTCCGTTCACAGCACCTTTCAGTCTACGCCCACACATTCACCTCCAGGTTTTCGATTTGACTCCCCGAAGACCTCCCCTAGTCCGCTAAATTTGGATGCCAGAGGACCCTCTCCCGAGCGGTCATCTGGTTCTGTAAGGACTACACCGGCATCGTCGCCTCACTCTAGGTCATTTAGGGTTTCCAGTCGCTCTAACTCTCGGTCGGGCTCTCCCTCACCAAATACTGAACACCGTGCGCCGCCCCCACTTCCCGTATCCGCACGTCCTGTACGGCATGGACTGCCACCTCCTCTACCACCGGTCGTGCCGCCAGCTGGAGGCATTAATGGGGACCGGAGAGCGAGTATGCCAAACAATGGAGCTTTCCGCCGGCCTCCGCCTAGCCCGGCACTACAGGCACCCCAGGATTACAGTGAACCGGAGAAGCGGATTCAACCCGAACATACCGCTCCTCCGGTCCCGATGAGACCGGCAAGACCCAAGATACCAAGCAAACCATCGACAGCGGCAAAGCCAGATCGCACAGGCTCGAACTCGGGTTTAGCCCCTGCGGCTTCTTCGGAGGAGCACGTTTCGCCGTTTAGTACACCGCCTTCAAGTGCCAACAACTCCCCCAGCAGGTCAGATAACGAATCGGGAAATCAACCAAGAATTATGTCTAGGCAAACAGCAGGAATGCTTAACTACGCCGCCCCACCGCCATTGCATTATACCACTGTGGAAAGGCCGGGTGGGCGGAATGGGGCTGGAATGGATACCGGGATTCTCCCGGCAAAAGCCCCCATACCGCCTCCGCCAAGGATTTCACGAGAGGAGATTAGACCAAGAATGAAGTTTGAGGATTCAGTTTGGGGCCAGCGAACGTCACTGGACGACACGGGCCTGAGGCCGGACCTCCCTCCAAGGCCCCCGGGCGGAATCATTGGTGGGGTTAGAGCTAGAGTCCCAAGCTTAAGGGGCCGAAGTTACTCTCCCCCTCGGGCACCGTCGGAAATTGGGCCTGTACCTGAGCCACCTGCTCCCCCCACATTTCTCCCGCCCCCTAGGCGAGGTTTCTCTTCGATCGGGGCCAAAGCTTCAGGCGGCCAGGAGACATCGGTCTCCTCCAGCAGGATATTCTCCAACACCTCAGCCGCGGCCAGCTCTGCGGGACATAGTAACGGCGTTGAGGATTACGGCGGCTACGGCCCCGATGATTCAGATGAGGCATTGTCGGATGAGAACCTGTCAGCATTGAGCGAATATCCGGATTCATCCCAGGCCAACCGGCGTCACCCACTTTTCAAGAGTGGGATTCGGGATATAAACTGTAGAGCGTATGTCAAGCACTTTGCCGTTTGCGGAAAATACGTTTGCACAACGAATAATGCTACCAACGTCTGGAATATAGACACAGGACAGTGCATAATGTCAATTAATCATGGGGAAAGCACAAGGGTAACGGCCATTGCGTTCAAGCCCTCGGTTAATGTTGAAGACGAGGGGAAGCAGCTCTGGATTGGCACTTCGCATGGGGAATTGATGGAGATTGATATTCCTTCACAAAAGGTCATAAACGCCAGGGCTAGTGCGCATATGAAGAAGGAGGTTGTCCAGATTCACCGATGTGGCTATGAGCTATGGACGTTAGATGATGGTGGAAAGCTCCAAGTTTGGGCACCTGATGTCAACGGAGTGCCGAACCTTAAAAACTCCCCAACCACATTTAGGATTCCGAATAAACACACGTATTCACTCGTCGTCGATGGGATGCTATGGATAGGTGCTGGAAAGAATGTCCATGTCTACCAGCCCAGTTCAGACTCCCGTATGCAGTTCAATGTCATATCGAGACCCTTAACACCTAGTAAGCCCACTGCCGAAATTACCTGCGGGGCCGTGGTCAACAGCGAACCCGATAAGGTCTACTTTGGGCACTCAGATGGAAAGGTATCAGTATTCTCTCGATCAAAGTTTTCGTGTCTCGATGTGGTCAACGTGTCGCTATACAAGATCAATTCCATGAGCGGTGTGGGGGACCATCTGTGGGCCGGTTTCAAAACTGGTATGATATACGTTTACGATGTCCGAACCAAACCATGGACGGTACTCAAGGACTGGCAGTCCTCGCACGGCCCAGTAGTCCAGGTGGTCGCCGATCGAACGAGTATATGGAAAGTTGGGCGATTACAGGTTTTATCTTTGGGAGTTGATAATGTCGTTCGGGTCTGGGACGGGATGCTCGAGGACGATTGGCTTGAGAAAGAGATGCAGCGACATGACGTTGAGTTTTGCAGCTTCCGCGAGATCAAGGCTCTCATTTGCACATGGAACGCTGGGGCGAGCAAGCCGCAGGACTTGCTGAATCGAGAGGATGATAGGGTGTTTTTGGAAAACGTCTTGGGGAGTATTGATAGCCCGGATATCATTGTTTTCGGCTTCCAGGAATTGGTTGATTTGGAGGACAAGAAGATTACTGCGAGTAAGCCGCCTGTGGTTGACCCTTTTGTTTGATTTTGACGCTTATATTTGGTAGAGTCTCTATTGAAAGGTGGTAAGAGTAAGAAAAAGAAGGCGGCGGACCATCAAGAGCGCATGTCCCATCAGTATCGGCTATGGCAGCAACAGCTTACCAAGTCGATCGAGACCCATATGCCTCGAGATCAACCGTATGCTCTTTTGCATGTGGCGAATTTAGTTGGCCTCTTTACTTGCATCTTTGTGAAAGCCTCCGAACGACAGAGCATTCGCAATGTATGTGCATCGACTGTCAAGCGTGGTCTCGGCGGTCTACACGGTAACAAGGGTGCACTTGTAGTACGATTCTTGTTGGACGATAGCTCTCTCTGCTTCATCAACTGCCATCTTGCAGCGGGCCAGTCCCATACCATCTCCCGCAACAACGACATCGCAGCAATCCTCGAATCCACCTCTCTCCCAGCAGAACCCTCCGCCGAAGCTCGTACGGACATGTTCGTCGGCGGCGGCGATGGCAGCATGATCCTCGACCACGAAATCTGCGTCCTCAATGGTGATCTCAACTACCGCATAGATATGCACCGTGATTCGGTAATCTCTCGGGAAAAACAAGGCGATCTGCCCGCGCTCCTGGAACGTGACCAGCTCCTCGTGGAGCGATATCGAAACCCAGGCTTCCGCCTCCGCGCGTTCCAAGAATCCCTAATTACCTTCTCACCCACGTACAAATACGACGTGGGCACCGATACCTACGATACCTCGGAGAAGAAGCGATCCCCGGCTTGGTGTGATCGGGTCCTGTACCGTGGCCTAGGAAGGATCAAGCAGACGGCGTACCGGCGCTGGGAAGTCCGTGCCAGTGATCATAGACCTGTAAGCGCTAGCTTCCTCATCCGTTTGAAAACTGTGGACCAGGAGCTCCGCGGGCACGTGTGGGAGAAGTGCAAACGCCGATATGCAGACGCCCGGGAGCGGGAGGTGTGGGAAGCTAAAATGGATTTTCTGGTCAATGTTTGCGGATACGGACTTGAAGAGGCCCGTCGGTCATTGGGGAAGAAGGAGGGGGTGGTGGAGGCTGTGAGAAGTCTTCAGGAGGCTGGGAGACAGTGATTAGTATAATGGGAGTTTTCTTTCTTTTCTTCACCTTTTCTTCATCCATCCATCCATTGTTTTAAATTTTTCATATATATATATCTTTTCTCATTCATGGGGTCTAGATGGGTGTATACTTTTTACCATTGTTGTGCCGTGTCGAGTTTGGGTAACCTTTTGTGAAATCAAAAGGGAACCTTCAGCGGAGAAGGGATGACGGAAGAAGGGAGGAAGGGGAATGTGAGGGAGAGTGGGGGAGTTGGGGGGTTGTTTTTTCTTTTTTTTTTTCTTCGCATGTACTCTAGCCGGAACTTTCGGGTGTATGGATTACGCTGATCTGATCTGATAGCTCTTTAATGTAGGCATGGGTGAGGGGGTGGGGTACCGTAGTCTAATGACATTTGTTCTAATATCGTACTGGCGGTGTCATATCATAGCTGCATTGTACGACTGGGGGGTGTTTCTAGTGTCTTACTTTCCTTGGAGTTTCTGCAAATGCCGATGTGGGCGTTTAGGAAGGAAATTTGGCACAGCTAGAGTACTATACTCGAGTAGGGGCAAACCCGCCACACCACAGGTCAGCCAAGGCAATTCCCGAGTGACGCCGCATGCCCCCGCCACCCGCGCCACATGGATATGCTTATTTCGACCTCAGGAAGAAAGAAATGCGAGTGCTACGATAACACACCCCTTTACGCACTCATTAACCAAACAATCAACCACCACCTTTCACCGCACAATGTGGTACGCCCATCGCTCCTCCCAAACATTATCCAAAAAGCCAAGCCAAGCCCAGCTAACCCTTACCCCTCCCTGCCCCCTCTAAACAGCAAACACATCCTAAACGCCCAAGTCTCCCTCCGCTCCCCCTGCTGCAAGAAATGGTACGACTGCATAACCTGCCACGCCGAGTCGGAAACGCACCCCCTCCTGCAGCGCTTCGAGGTGGTGTTCGCGTGCAAGAAGTGCAAGAAGTGCTTCCGCAAGGACACGCAGGAGTGGGACGAGAGCGACGAGTACTGCCCGCACTGCGATAACCACTTCGTCATCGAGGCGAAGGTGCCGAGGGCGGTTGTGGAGTTTGAGGGCGAGGATGTGCGGAGGGATGCTAGGATGGTTAAGGATGAGAGGGTTGGGGGGGAGAAGGGTGTGGAAGGGTGGGATGTGGCGGAGGGGGCGGATCGGTTGGGGTGATTTGATTTGATTGCGGGGTGCCGCTGAGGTTGGTATGGTACTATGGTGTTTGGGGATGCGGGACGCTGGTGTGTACCGTTATCGTGGCACAAGTATCGTACTTGTTGGTGATGTGCGGTAGTGGTGTTATAGGGAGGTAACAAAAACAAGTTTTTATGAAGGGCGGGTTGAGTGCTCCTGAAAGTGGGAGGAGGATGTAGGGTAAGTAATCAGAGTAATGACATTGTGCCCTGCCGTGATATAAGTTAAAGGCAATTTTATAACTATATTTTGGTTTATGAAAAGTTTGAAATGTCTGACTTATATAATGAGATCTTAAGGGAAAGAGTCGGGTTGGTAGATGATAGTAAAGTAGTCTATTATAAAGCCTGGAAAAATACAACTCTATTAGGCAGAAGGGTAATAATGACTCTTGTAGCTTAAAGGCCATAGTAACATTTATGATTAGTTCCTATCCATAAAAGTATTATAAAATTCTAAGATCCTTAGTAGAGAAAAGTACTTAATATATCTCTATAGGATTATATCAAGTAAGTATATGGTAGGACTTAGGCTATGATAGATACCGAGTAGATAGAATATTTCTGTTCGTTATAATGTAAGTAGTTGAGTCCGAGTCCACCACAATATAACAATATATTTACTTGAATCTTACCAGATATTTTTGTCAATCTAAACCTGAAAGTCAAATAAAGAGCAACCACTCAGGCTAAGGATACAGTCCCACCCCCCTCTCGATAATCATGCTCAGCTGGATACTCTGCTTGACCATACAAAATAAATCTTACTCTTCTAATTTCCTGTAGGATTCCATCCTCTCAAGCAGAAAACGAGGTCTTCTAATTCCTACAGCGTTTTGGGAAATGTGACCTACTCTTCGAGTTCCCGAATAAAGTTTTCCTGGTGAAGCAGATTCGATGCTTACTTCCATGGAAACTGTACCACCGTGGGAGGGGGGGTGGCAGGGCTAGATGTAGGGCGGAAAAGGGCGATATGAACTTAGCATTAAGCGGGAAAACGCCGGCAGAGTATATCTCTATATTATATTGTAGTAGTGATGTGAAGGGAGGTGAAGGAGATACATCGACCGCTGAAAGCCTTATTTATTTAATACTTCCCACAAATGCGCGTTAGGGGTAAAGCTTCTTCTCCCATAATGGGAATAACCCTTCGGAGTCTTTTGAATAACCAGCGACTTGGATAGATTGCACGAAATATCATCACCGGAGATAGCGGAGTGCAGGTGTATCGCTGCTTGTTGATTGTGAATACTTGATCAGTGGTGGTTGTTTGCTCATGACCTACCATCTGGGCCCCTATTGCGCCATCGCAATTAGATAGGTCTCGGATCATGAACACTTCTGATGAGGAGCTGTAGGTTAATAGAGGCCTGGTCCCGTTTTCAAACTGCTGAAAATTGTAAATACGTCTGGTTGCTCTATGAGGGCGGCATTGTTGGCTCGCCGGAGACGGTACTTGTGAGAGATCTATAGAGAGCGGATAATTTCCATGAATACCTGCCCTGTTTGGAAACCAGCTCAATAACCTATTATCTGAATTTTGCCGGTTATCAGTATAGAAAATCAAAATTTGTCAATTATTATCTTCGAAAAGGTTATTGTATTTCTCCGCTCCCAACCTATATATCTCCACATGTGCATCCGGCTTATAAAGTTTATTTCCACCCTCCAAAATCCCCCTTACAGGCTAGCCCCTGCCTCCTATCGTCCCTCCTAGCCCTCCTGTCCAGCACCCCCCCTCGTGTGCGTATCATCGGTCGAGTTCTAGAGAGCTAGCTTTTAGTACGATGCCTAGCGCGTTCTCTCGTAGGGTGACCTAACCTCTAATATGGATCCGTCGCTTTTGACTGCCTTTTCTTCGCCTTCCAGCGCCGTGGCCCTTTGGGTTTCCTATAACCATGCCAGTCAGCAACACTTTAAAAACACTTTTTTACCAACAATATCCGTGTCCTTTGTCTTCACTAGTACTTACCTTCCACTTTTCTATCGCCTGATCAAGAAGCTGTACAATCTGGGATTCATTGGTATGGCTCGAACCAGTTCGTGCAAAAAAACTCCGACTGGATAAAACTTCTAAAGGAGTATGTCCTTTGGCGTCTTTAATCGTCGGGTCAGCATTCGCATCCAGCAGAGCTTGTACGACATCTGGATGCTTTTGAGAAGCCGCATGATGCAATGGAGTAAACCCATAGATACCGGCGTCGTTTACTGGGATTTGGCGGTCGAGTAAAATCTTGACTCCTTCAAGTTGACCACCTTGAGCCGCAAAATGGAGTGGAGTTTGACCATACCGATCACGTAAGTCCAGATTAACACCCTTCTGTAAGAGCAGGTCGATGAACCTGTACTGGCCACTGTAGAATGCCTGGTGGATAAGATGAACTTTGTCTCCCGTGAGCTGATTAATATCAGCCCCGTCGTTCACAAGTGCGATTGATAATTGTTCAAGGCCAACGCTGCTGGCTAGCATAACTGGAGAATCTCCAAGGGAAAATCGGACGTTTCTAGACAGTGACCACACTTGTTTGGCGAGATCAATGTTTTCACCGGGGCAGGTCGACAAATGCTTAAAATGGCGGAGGACTACGGGGTTGTCACTACCTGCCTGGCGAGCATGATAAGGCCAATTCTGTGCAGCGTATTCAAGAAAAGGGCCCTGTTTTCGAAAGCCGGTGCGAGTTTGGTATTGGAAGCCAGACGGGCCTATGTCGAGAGACTTTAGCGAGCCGAATTGTGGAAGCGCCAAGTATTCTAGGCAAACCGAGGCAATTTCCGCATGCTCTTCGTTTGGTGGTTTGCATATTTGAGCAAGCTTTGTCGGAGGATCTCGTGGGTCAAGTAAAGCACCCCGCAATGATTGGTGGATAAGCCGGATTTCGGAAGTATGATCAGTAATGATGACCAATGCACCAAACCTTTCCTTTAATTCCCCCTTTAGATCACTTGGTTTCCACTTCTCAGCATCCCATACCTCCTCCTCGGTTTCTCCACGGTCCTTAAAATCCTGAACCGCAAAAGCCTCCTCCACCTCACTTACTTTCAGTGGCCGTCGAGCATATAGTATCCATGGCAGCATTTTTTTGATAGAAGGCCCATAGTCCTGCAGGTAGCGTGTAAAGAGCTCCTCGTAGATCTCAAGTAGCTTTACTGGAAGGCTGCGAAGCTCAGTTAGAAGTTTGACAGGACTAGACCTTTTGAAACGGTTTAGATGCTTTATAACAAGCACCACCCAGACAAACATGGTCCCAGCGTGCTCACAAAGGTGGGCACGAACAGCGTCCCGGGTGCTTTGGGTGAATGTGGTCGATTGAAAATAAGCTTCCACCTCGGTATTAATTAATATCTTTACCGAATTGCAGACTTCATCTCTGTTATTTAGGTCAATCTGCCGGTAAATATGCATAGGAAATTGATCCAATGGCCGAGTAATAGTGATGAAATGGCTAGCAAAGTGATTGTCTCTCTCCGAAAACTTTTCTAAAAGTTTAATTTGTGAGCTGCCTTCACACTCATCCAGCGCATCCAGAACAAATATGGTGCTTAGTGATCGGTGGGATATTAAGATAGCAAAAGCTTGCCATAAAAGCTCGAGTGTCCAGTCCTGGTTGATAGCCCTTCGTTCCAGGTGAAATTCTCTGATCAGGGGATACAGGTCGGTATTTTCTCTGAGAATCTGAACGATCAGTGTCGCCAGTGCTGCTTGGGCTGTAGTTTTCTGTTGGACCTCATCCTTAAATAGAAAATAGCTGACCGAGACCTTTTTCTTTCGTAGATATTCAATCACAAACCGGGCTAGAACTGATTTCCCCGTCCCGGGGCCTCCGGAGATAATCAACCCACCTGAAGGCGTCCCCTGACGTAAAAACTGGTCCAGTTCGGGTTCTATCCAGTTACATGTATTTTCAAGGGGCTCGCGCACTTTGGTAAGCATTGCTTTATAGTCTGCAGGCTTAAGATGTGCTAAGCAATCCTCGATATCGGCCGCCGCCTTATCTTTCTCAATCATGCCCCTTAAAGCACGAACAATCGTAAGGTAATTAGTATCCGTAGCATCACTATACTTGTTTAAGCCTGAATGATCCGTGGTAAGTATTTCTCCATGCATACCAAATGTTGCTGAATCCTTTGGTACAACTAACTATAGTGCATGAAACTGGTTAGATTGATCAAGCTGAAAGCGAAGGTTACGTACGAGAGGTATAGGCAAGCCAAACATCCGGGTTGGGTAGGCTTCATAAAAGCAGATTTTTTCCTTGTCGTAGACCATTCCGAACTCTGAGTGCAGATCGCGAAGCTCATCCGAATGGTGACCTAAAGAATCCATGATTCCAGAGCTGGAACCCATGTAAAACCCACAGCGAACTAAGAGCTGGCCGACATATGAAGAGGGAGAACCGTCGTGGGGTGTTCCTAGAAACACAATGCCCTTGGTGGCCGCTGCGATGGGAAGATAAGATTTATAGTTGGGACGGCTAAGAGCTATAACGATTGCCTAGAGATTTGATAAGCTACTGTGGTACTAAATCCTGTATCTCACATACCTTCTTGATTATTATCCCTCCGAAACTGTGTCCAATGAAGATTATCGGTCTTTTTTTCTCCTGTAATCAAACTATCGGTAAGCTCTATATTTTTCCATTTAGTACTTAAGGATTGGAACATACATGCGCGGTTTGTCTAAAGTGCTCTACTTCACGCAGTAATTCCTCGCCACACTCGGCAATGCTTTTCACAGGAGCATCAAGAAGATAGCTGGAGTCATGACGAAATACTAAAATTCGGGCATTTTTGATTGACTTCGGAAGCAAGGTTCGTAGCCAATTAATCTTTCCTCTCGATACTCGGTCTCCGGTTTCGATATCCGAACGGGGGTCTGCGGCCCATGTCCACTCGGGGTGGGCACCAAGTCCATTTACTGCGATAATGCTATCGATCGGGGTCACTAAATAACATGTTTCGTGAAAGGACTGTTCATCAAACTCACTCGACCTCTATGTCTTCTGCCGGTACCTCTGACAAAGGACTTAGCACAATCATCCCTAGTTGATCAGGATTCCTTTTAGTTTTCTTAAGTAGAGGCCCAAGTATCCAACCCTGAAATGGTCCGAGAAAAAGAGCAAGGACCGTGAGCATCAGTGAAGATACCACAACGTAGGCGCACACCAAAATCCAGTTGATCGACCATTCCGACGTCCCCAAGTACTCGCATGACCACATAAAAGAGATGAAGAGTATCGCCCAAAACGTGATAATTCCATTGTTGGCTGAGCCGAGAAGAATTATAGGAACACCATAGGTGATGAGTGTAAGTAGCGGTAGGCCCGCTGCGGGGGGATCAGTCTCTGGAAGTGAAGGCATCCGTGAGATGGCGAACTGTTATCCTGAGGCCGACCGCGCTAGTATATAAGACAAACCCCTATCTGGCCGATCCCGGGCAATGAACCCAAGCTACATTACTCAGCGCGTCCGACCTGTCACCAGGGTTATGTTTTTTGGAGTACGGTACTCGTACCTATGGACTATTTTACTGGTTGTGCATTTGCCGGCGCTACGGCATCTCGTACGATGCCGTCCTTCGAGAGATACTGGTACCGGTATGTCTCAAAATGCGGTGCTACGGATTTCTCGTTGTCCCAGACAATTTTGTCGGGTTGTGTTAGAAACACATACAAGTACAAGTACTACAAGTAGTAGAAATAGGCCTCACCATCCCAGATTAGGATAATTTCGGAGCAGAATGAATTCTTTAAAGTCTCTAATGCCTCTCTTGGTCGAAAATAAATTCCCATGTCCCAGATTCCACTGCTAATCTGACCTAAACTCGAATCCACTACCGGTATTACAACTGTCTAGAGGCACAGTTGATACGATAGCTCTGTGGAATTGTGAGACAATCGTATGCGGTGCAATCGCCGAAGTCATGCAACAAGCGACCAAAGCTTTGATAGACAGGGTCTCTGATTAAGTATTGGCTCACCTGCCATTGTGGAAGGTGTGACTGATGCAGTCAGTTGGTGGATGCGTATATGCCTGTCTGAGTCGGCCTCTAAACTTGAGTTTGCGGTTTGGCTTGTTGGGAAAGTACTCGAGTGGATTCTGATGGATTCAGTTGAGTGCAGAGGGGATTGATGATTTAGTCTAACCAGCTCTAGGGTAAGTTATTGGCGGACGAGTGGCGAGTATTTTCAAATTAGGCCTCAAATTACTAAGTAAATTTAAGTAGCGCGGGAAACTGGGAATTACCTGCAGTTATCAAATTCCAAGAATGTCATGCGAAGCAACACAGCTGAGCACAACCACTTCTCACACCCAGCCCCTGTTTCTTGTATCACTTTGCCACTCAAAAACTGTCTTATACGCTGCCCGGCTCGCTAACCCGCGGCATGTCCATGAATTCCGGTTGGTGCGACTTGCATACTAAATTAGGCTTCTTCAGGAATAGTGGCATGTTTGAAAATTCGATGCTTGTATTCTACTCCTGTTCGGCTCACTGTTACCAAATCCGGGTTCATCCTTTCTAGTTCCGGATTAACAAAACTGACAGCAATAAGTTCGTGCGGCATTACAAGTACTAGGCAATAAAAGATGTGGTCCCTCCGCTCTGCCCAAGATTTCTGTAACTTAGAATATGGGGTTGTAACTCCGGAAATCTTCAATCTTTAATATTTCCTCACAAATGCCTGATCTACGTGTTATATCAGAAGATTATTACATGGTAATTCTTTCCCATTTTGTACAGCGGAAAATGCTCACCATTGATAATTTGTCCGTTCAGGCTCAACCCCTTCGTCCACCATTTCAGGAAGCTTGTTGTCCAGCTCGCACACTCGATATCCAGCCAAATTCAGCCACCACTGAGCAGCCCTCTCTCGCTTCTTCTCTTTCGGCACCCGGGGGAGGGTTCATTCAAGGGAGCTGTCTGGAAGAGTACATTGCTGTTGAGCTTGATGTCTCGCGGTTAAATCGGATTCACGATCATCTTTGGTTTGCCGGAAGTCAGAGGAAGCCTCGCCCCTTGCACGAGCAGATAATGAAGCAACGAACACTCTTAATCACGGAACAGGCTGACTTGCACCTTGTGTGGTGGGGGAAGGTCTTACTGATTAAACCTCTTCCGCCCTTTTTGCTTTCCTATACCTTCTTTCAATCTCACCTATGTACGGAGAATGTACCCAATGGACAGTTAGCGACATTACATGCCAGCGCCTCGGGACTACTTTACTCTTATGCAAACCTCATTCTTCATGAGAGCGACTTCCGAATTGCGCGAGAGCTGGGCCTGCTTCCTGAAATGACCTGGCAAGAATGGGCGAGGTTCGCGCGGAGCGTTCGCCTCTCGCTTGATAAATCAAACCTGGAGAATACCGTCAATCAAAGGTATCTATACGGCGAGTTGCGACGGAAGCGTCTGAACTGGATCTGTCGTTTTGTACATGGACACTGGATCCGTGGGTATCATTATGTGTATACAGAGTACCACGAATTTTTCAGTAGCAATTTTGCTTGGTTGGTGCTCGTTTTCGCCTATCTCACCGTCGTATTCTCGGCGATGCAGGTAGCTTTAACGACGCATGCCGGGACTGTTACACCGTTACTCCAGTCTATTTCCTTTCGCTTTTCGGTGGCTTCCTTAGTAGCGGTGGCAGCTGTAGTAGCTTCCCTATGTGTATTGTTTGGGGTACTGGTAGTAAACAACCTTTATTGGGGGTTGGTTCATAAATGGAAGAAGCCGTAGGGATGATTCTGGGGTTTGAATACTCTTCTTTATAACAATTTTATGGAGACTTGGGGGATCACAGACGCTGTACATCATGTGAGAGGGAAGACTAGGCAGGATTTATAAAGTCGCTTTGTGTAAAAAAAAGACTTACGATTACGGAACTTAGTGAGCTTGCAACACAAAATCAAGTCTGGAAAGGATCTAAATGCTGACAACCTGGCGAATAGGGATCATGCTATTCAACGACTCTCGTACTCTGAAGGGTAGAAGTACTGTACTCAGAGACTCATGATACCTACAAACTACTAAATGAACGATGAGGATATGACATAAACTAATAGTCCTTATAGCACAAGAGCACCATACAAACTGATCGACAAAGTTCAGTACAGTAATTGTTTTTCAGAAAGTATTCTAGTCCAGTTTACTGTTGCAGTCCAATATGAAATTCTGTTAATTTTGTATATGGGTACAGGAAAGTCCAATCCATTATCCGGATAACAAGCTGTACTAGACAGATTCTTTGGATTTTGGCTGTGCAAGAAGGCAATTATTTTTCTTGTTATGGTTCAAGCACTTCAAAACTGGGACGAGGCTGCTAAAAAAATGTTACGTGGCTGTGCAATTTTTTTATGCTAAGGCTGTCTTACTAAGCTTCCAAAATCAGAATTTTAGGGTCAAAGTACAGGGTATTCCAACATACCAGGTTAGATTAACTTAATATAATTTCTATTATAATATTATATTAGTTATTAAACTACAAAATATTTTATCTATGGTATAGGGTAATTCAAAATTGAAGGAGAAAATTCTAGTTAGTCATAACAAAACAGTTATTTAAGTATTAACAGGTATGGCTGACATAACATTTTTGACTCCTCTTACCAGGAATACATGATTTAAAAGCTTAATGGAGGTTTGTAAAAAAGTCTACAAGCTTAATAAAAACCACTAGGCTCCTTGCAGTCATATGGCCTTTAGCTCAGTGGTTTTTTCAAATTTTTAAGTGGTTTTATAGAGGCTCCATTATTGGTTTTATAAGATGTAATAGTGTGGTTCACATTTTGAAGTGCTTGAACCATAAATTCCAAACTTTATTCACAAGTCTAAGACTATAGAAAAGGCTATTAGAAATACTCTAATGTAACAGACAAGGTCTGAGCAGGTAGTCCCAGGCACGCCACGGTCAGGCTCCGGAGATATAGATAGGTTCGGCATCCCACCGAGGGTCTATATATCAAGGTCCCGGCATCCTACCGGGGGTCTAGACAGGAGGGTCCGAGGTATCTAAGGTGAATGCAACTTATAGGTGTGCAGCCGAAGAGCAAGGTCCCAGGGGGCCCAGTATCCCACTGGAGGTCTATACATCAGGACAGGTTCCCACCTCCGAGGTCTAGACAGATGTCCGGTATCCCACCGGAGGTCTAAGCAAGAGACAGGTATCCCACCTCAGAGGTCTAAGCATCAGGACAAGTTCCCACCTCCGAGGTCTAGAAAGATGTCCGGTATCCTACTGGAGGTCTAAGCAAGAGACAGGTATCCCACCTCAGAGGTCTAAGTATCAGGACAGGTTCCCACCTCCGAGGTCTAGAAAGATGTCTAATATCCCACCGGAGGTCTAAGCAAGAGACAGGTATCCCACCTCAGAGGTCTAAGCATCAGGACAGGTTCCCACCTCCGAGGTCTAGACACAAAAGGGGCTCCAGTATCCAAGGGTTCTCTGTCTAATGTGTATGCAGCCGAGGAGTGGAGTTCAAGGAGGGTTGCTGACATCAAGCTGGCGTCCACCTGTGAGGAGCATAACCAACTAAGGTCCAACTAAGGAGCATCCAAGCGAGCCAAGGTAATCGTCCAGTATCCCACTGGAGGTCTAGGTCATAGGGCCTCCATATCCAAGGGTACTCCATCTAACTTGTATGCGGCCGAGGAGGGAGGTTCAAGGAGGGTTGCCGACATCAAGCCGGCGTCCCCCAGCAACGGAGCATAACCAACTAAGGTCCAACTAAGGAGCATCCAAGTGAGCCAAGGTAATCGTTCAGTATCCAACTGGAGGTCTAGGTTGAGGGGCCTCCGTATCCAAGGTTACTCTGTCTAACTTACATGCGGCCGAGGAGGGAGGTTCAAGGAAGGTTGCTGACATCAAGCCGGCCAAGGTAATCCCCCGGTGTCCCACCGGAGGTCTAAACAAGGTCAAAGAGGGTAATTGGTAAATCAAAGAAGGTTTAAAGGATCGTTGCCGAATGCAATATTGTTAAGGGATTCATAAGGGTCAGAGATCCTGAGATCTTAGGGATCTACCGGGTTCAGGCGGGAGAACTATCGTCGAGATAGTTAACCGAGGACAGGCAGACACGAGGGAAGGCCACTGGCACAAAGGGGTTCAGGCGGGAGAACTATCGTCAAGATAGTTAACCGAGGACGGGCGGA